ATGACTTGCATATAAAGATAATGATTTGCATATAAATATAATGATTAGTTGATAAAAATAATGAAATTTGATAAGGAAATAATAAAGTAAAGAAACTTCCTTACGTATGTCTAGCAATGTAATCATGTACTGTAGCATTAAATATGACTGGGCCTTTTGGTAAATGCATGTTAAGGGCATTAATAGGCACTTAGATCAAGGAAAGTCTTGATGACGTGAAAATTACCGAGTTTGAGTTTGACCTTATACAAAAACATGCATCAACATTAGCCTTCTAAGTAGGGAGAGTTGTGACAACAAGTATTTGTGCTTGTCATTGATGTTGCCAAATGAGTCCATACTTTGCTAAATAATGGATAAATTTGATGTTATTTAGCAATATCTTTATTATATAACAAGTTGAAGAGATATGACTCTACTTTTGCTAGACTTGGAAGGTTGACTTTTCCAGAGGATAAGCCTATCCTTATGTTATAGAAATGATGATGAAAATAATAATAAAAGTTACTGCTATAAAGTTGTCCCTTAGCAGTTTGTTGGATCTTGTAACGAATTTTCTTTCGTTTGAGAATAAAAGCATTGAGCATTGTTCACAGCCATGGTGTTATAGATAGTTGCATGTTTGGCTTGGTTGAGTCAAAGCCAAAGTAGATATTGCTAGTAAAGAGATGAATGAGCCCCCCAAAATGAAGAAGGTAGCTTATCATCTGCTTACGTGGTGTCGTCATCATTGGAAAATACTGATTGTTGTGCATGAGCTCCATTATAAAATTTTTAATATAAAAATAGGCTAATTAGAAGCTTGATAGTTAGAAATATTTATCGACCCAATTTTAAGGAATATAACATTCTGATTAAAATTGAGTATGTAGTTGAAGTCACAATGCTAGGGATGAACTTTCATCAACTTCATTGGAAAGTATTATTGGCAATATAATCCTCTATCCCTGTGAATTTTGTTAATCTCTTGTGTACATGCTCATCAATCAAGTGTTTGCAATTCTTCATCCTTTTTTTTTTTTGTGAGTTGACATTAAGAAGTTGTCTAGCGAAGATAAACAATTTAAGTAGTGATAGAGACATAGTAATAAGCTACAAACTGTTGAATTCGTAGCGAACTGGTCCATCCAAATGAAATATGATGATGTGAAGTAGAGTAATAACCCTCCATCTAAGGAATGTGAGAACCAGTAATGTTGGACATCTTGTTCAAGTAATAAAGTAATGTAAAGATGAAGGCCCTTTATAGCCTTGTTGTAACTGCAAGTTGTGACCAACAAACTTCGTTGACCCCTCTTTTTGCCACAGATGATAAAATGATGATGAAGACGAAATGAGCACACCTATGTTGACGCACTCATAATGGACCCAATATGTTGAAGAAGACTTTCTATCCAAGATAGAGTATTTCAGCAAAGATGGACCTTTTATTCAAGATAGAGTATACCAATAAAGATAGACCTTATGTCTAAGTGATGTAGTAAATAATTCATTGTGGATGCAACCTATCCATGTGGACCTTTTAGAAATTTCTTCCTCATGATAAAATGTTGAAGATGTATCCATATGTAATTAAGTGTTCATGATTTCCGACCATGTTGAATATCACTAGGGTGGCTTGAGAGCTTTGCTAACCTCCCTTGTGCATCAAAAAGGAAGATGTAAGTATATATTGCTATGCCTCTTTGTCCATTTATCATGGCAAGCATTTGTATAGCATTGTTGTGTGTGTTTGGCGATTCGCTAAGATAAAGGATGTATAACATAGATGTGTGTTGCAGTACCATTTTATCAAGCCAAGCATTGTTGGTTGATAGTACCTGCCAACACATGAAAACGTAGTAAAAATATGTTGAAGATCAAGATTACCAATGACCGATAATTTGTTCCTTTATATAGAAAGAATGATAATGTGCATGACCGCCAGCCATGTTGAATATCACTAGATCAGCCATGAATAGCTCCCCTATAGTTAGAGGAACAACAATTTCTAGCTTTGCCATGGCTAGAGTGTGAAATATGTGGAATCAAAAGAGCATTCCCCACAATCCACCAAGCCACAAAAGGGATAAATCTCGTCAATCCAAGACTTTAGCATATTGATGAATATGATGAGAAATGGGTGGAGTGTTGTCCATGGAAGGGGGATTACTAGCCACATCCATGGCCTCCGTTATAGACAAGGTGTGGTGCCAGGATAAAACAATGGCCCTTCTTGTTGTACCTGCACTATCAAAGGATGGTCTTGGTTGTTTTTGCTTGTTGAACATTGTACCACCATGCACAAGCAACCACTAAGGCGCTACTAGCCCAAACTTGATGGATTTTTATTGCTAGAAGGTAGCCATTCCAACCAATTGCAGGGTTGCAATTGTTGTCGGTATCACACTAATTGTACCGAATTATGTTAGCTCCTTGTCTGTTTTTGGGAGCTTGTAAAAATAAAATATGTAAAGATCCGACCCTTTGTCCGTTTCTGAGAGTTGGTGTAATAAAGATGTGTAAAGACTAAAGATATATAATCTTCTGCCCATTTTCGAAGGCTAAGTAAAGCAACAAGTTCAGTCCTTTATCCATCGTTGAGAGCTATGTAGATGTAATAAATACAACCCATTGTCCAAAAATGGTCAAAATCCTTTTCAAAATTACGTAACCTTTCATTTAAACCAAAAATGGTCAAAAGCCTTTTCAAAATTACCAAATTTAATCTTATTGTTAGTCACGTCCATTAAATTCCGTTAAATTCATAATAAAAAAGATCCTAATTAAGATTTTGCAAAACCACCAAAACCCTTTAATAGAAAAAAATTCTTTTGGGAAACTTCAAAGATTATGTTTTATTTTTATTATTATTATTATTATTATCTTTTACTTAAAACAAAGTCCTTCTTTAATCCTAAAAACTTTTGACATAACTTAATAGTTTAACAATATAACAAATTTCATAACCTAAATATTTTTTTAATTGCAAATTACTTATCATGCAAGTTACAGTTGTATAAAATATATCCAAAAAATATATAATGAAAATCCATCTTAATTGCAACTTATAACATATACATAAACTTTTGCTTGTAAAAAAAACCCCAAAAAAGAAAAGTTAAGGTGGGTAAAGAATTCAAATTTTAGTATAAATAATTTTGGGCAATGAAAATTAAAAGAAAAATTATGTAAAAATTTTTATTAGACCTTTCAAAATTTTGGTTAATATTTCTTTTCAAAAATTAATGAAAGTAACTAGCCTTAAGCTTAAGTTCAGTAATTTTAAAAAGGTTAAGAACCACTTTTAATTCAAATAAACAATTAAAATAATATCTAATATTTACACTAAAGGTTGAAGACTAATGTCACATTTACCCATTCTTTTTTATTATAAAAAAATATATTCCTCAATTACGAGCAAAGTTGTCAATATTGTATCGGCATGCGTATCGATTTTATTACTGAAACAATATATACCGGATATCGAAATTTTTCGTGTACCGTTTCGGATTTATCGCTATAAATATATATATTTTTATAAAAAAGATATATATTTGTAACAGATGAAATATTAATTAAATTTTAATATATTTAATTTTTAATTTAG